TAGGGAAAGTGCTGGCAAGGCTTCTTTTCTGACCCAGCTTTTTCCAGAACACACTGTGGTATAATATTGTCTTTGTTTGTTTAGGTCACACATCTCTTTGATCGTAGTGCCTGGGAAGCACTATTACCTGCTCTAGATTTTATACCGTTAACAATGGGCCGTCTCTGGGTTCTGGCTCTGTAGGAACAGGGACCAAGAGGCACTTCTTTTTTTATGGGCCCTGGGTTTAACTGCATGTGCTCATGAGCTAGAAACTTTGTTAGAGTAATGTTTTAAGGAGAATATTCATTGTTGTATTTTTCTCATCCTAAAATAGTAAAAGTAACATTTATTCCTTAGAGAACTTTTAAAAGAAAAATAAAAATCACTTAGAAAAACTTAGAAGTAATTTTGGGGTCAAATTTGGTGGGTTTTTCCCCATTTTATTCACATGTTCACATATATATACATATATAATGTGTGTGCATATACATATGCTGAATATATAAATTTGAAGATAAATTTGAATATATTGGTTTATATTGCATACAAGGTGGAAGAGAGGGGTGGAAATGGAAAACCCTCCAGAATTTTTCTTTTATTTCCAATTATATAACAATAATAAATCAATATAAATATATTTGTATTATATGATATGTAAGTATATCTAATATTTTTATAAATGTGTGCCCCAAAATATTTTGATATAAATTTTTATATTATAATGTGTGTTTAAAACATATAACCATATAAACATAAAAATATTTTTCTTGTCTCACTTACTGCAATCCTCTGAAGAAATTGCTATTATCATCCTCATTTTACTATTGTGAAAAATCAGTTCAGAAATAAGCTAGTGAGAGGCGTCAGGCCCAGGTTTGAGCATCTCACTCAAGGGTCTCAGTGACAGACCCTGCAAAGATTTAGAATTTATTCTGATTCCAGTTGGAAGCCAGTGAAGGAATTTAATGAAGAGAGACACATAATCAAAATATTTTTAAAGATTATGAATTACTTAAAATTTTAAAAGACTAAAGAAACCCCCAAAACACAGAAACAAGAATTCTTAACAAATCTACAAAAGCAAACAGAGGGTCAGAACCTTACAAACCAAGCCGGTACATGCTGGAGCCTGGATTTAGACCTCAGCACCTCATCCCAGAGTCCCAAATAAGCACTGCCTTTTGTGCCACAATTAAATTGCAAATAAATCTCATCTAATCACAAACAATCCTTCTAGCGACATTCTAGCAACATCTTAGCTCTTTTGGTGATATGGAAAACTACCTCAAAGCTGGAGAAAATAAACCCAAAATTTGCATTACTCTTCTGAGACAAAAATCCGTTACCTCGTTCAAAGCTTGAGAGTACTGGAAAGCCACTCTCAGGCCCAAACCCCTAAGCAATAGGGTGACGACTCCCTCCAGTCCAGGATGACCACCCCAAACTGGGGTTCCCCCAGAACCTGCCAGATGTCCACCCTGCACACAAACACTCTCAGCTGCAGGGTCCCAGCCAGGGCTATCACACAGCCCAGGAAAGGTGTTCAAATCACGACAAAACTTAGAGCCAACCAAACTGAAGAAATTTATAACTCCACCTATAAATGCTTAACCCCACAAGTACTGATTATCAGTCTATGCTTGCCATTATATTATTCCCGGTACTGTCCTGTGCCCTTTTAATTTCTCAAAAATAAATAAATAAATAAATAATTGAGTTCTTAGCACTGTTTTTGTTTACGTGTGTGTCTGTTTATGTGTACGTGTGTGTTTATACTGGTGGTCTGAGTGTCGGCAGATTGGTAAGCTATAGCAGCAAAGAGAGTTGAGAGTTGAGTTTTGGTTTCTATTCTTTGACAACTCGGCATAAGGATGAGGCATCTGTACAGATAACTGAACTTGGAGTATTCCCCCAAAAATCAGGAATGCATCAACCGAAGCTGGAGGGGCCTGGAGATCTGGGACCCGTGGGCCCTCACTACGGCCCTGGGAAGCACTGCTAACTCTCCTGGTTTCCGCATCTACACTCATATACAAGGATCACCCCATGAGCCCCGAGGCCACCAGATCCCACCCTCAGTAGCCTAGAAAATTCTAGAATCAAAAACCTTCCTCCCTAAAAGCCCATCCAACCTTACCAGAGGCAAGTCCCAGAACCCTCACAGCGGCAGCCGTTTCACAGGCCTCTCTCTCCTGGCACATCTAAGAAAAGAATGAAGTCAAATGAAGAACCTACAGCACAGCTCACTTACTTCCTGTTTTCGAAACTCCTGAGTCACTAGTGAGGTAAGCCGGCCTCCAGGCAGCACCCCCGTCTAGATCTCTAAGAGGGAGCCTGTGGAAGGGGAGGCAGGTGCCGGGAGGGGACCCTGGCCACCTGAGCCTTGGCTCTGGCTGTGTGACTTTGGACGGGTCAGTTTCTGTTCGGGGCCTCCTTACCACACTCCAACAGGAGAAAGTTTGAACTGGATGATAGCTAAGAACACTTTCTTTTCATATTGCAGGAATTTACAGATTTTTAGGGGCTCATTATGAAGACTTTAATGGTTTCATTCAATAATATTCACTGAGCACTCCTGAGTGGTCTTGAGATCTGTAAACTGCAGGGCCCTCACCACAGCTCTCAGAGGGTCTGCTGACCCTCACAGAAACTCTCTTGGTTTCCCCATCTACACACACATACACGATCACTTCCATGACCCCGAGGCCATAAGACCCCACCCTCAGCAGCCCAGAAAACTCTAGAATCATAGTCCTTCCTCCCAAAAGGCCCAGTAGAGCTCACCAAAAAGACAAATCCTGGGGCCCTCACCATGGACTGGCCCTGGAGAACAAAGCACACATTAGCCCTGTCTTTTTGCTCTCAGTCAGTTGAAATGTTTTCTGATGATAAAACTAGAGAGAGAGAGAAAAAAAAATCAAACACCTCTCTTCTTTGAAACTGCCTTTTTTCTTTCCCCAAATGGAATATTAGCTTTCAGAGGGCAGAGCTCACGGCTGAGAGGATTAATGAGATGTCTGAAAGTGCCCCTCCACCTGCAGAGGGCTAGGGAAGGGTGCCATGGTCCCACTGTGCCCTTTGCTACCTCGACTCTGCCCTGAGAACTCTGAGTGAGAGCACAGTAACAGAATGAAATCCTGTTAATGGCTAAATCCTAGCCCAGGATGTGCTCCCTGACTCTTTCTTGCGGCCTCCTGAGCATACACTCAGCTTTCATCCTGCTGTTTTATGGCTGGTTCCTGTCCGAGGCTGTGAGCTTCACAAAGGCAGAGACTGAATATTTCATGCCCGTTCCCAGGATGTGCCACAGGAGTAGCAATATCTAGAACATACAAAGGTTTCCTGCAAATCAATGAGGAAAAGAAACCCTGGAGAACGACAATGGATATGGACACAGGGTTCCTTGACAGGGATACTCAGATGGCCGAAGTGTACGAATGACGCCCAGACTCATGAGTAAGCTGGGAAGTGCCAAAATAAAGCAACGAGCTCCCTACTTTGTACCTATCAGAATGGCAAAGGTTTGCAAGCTGGATCAGGCTAAAGATTGGTGGGCAAGTTCTCCTACAGTCCTTATATAGGATTGGGAGACTGTCCATCATGGAATAATAAGTAGTGGTTACAAAGTGGGACCTGGCAAATTACATAGAACTTAAAGTACAGTGCTTACTTGAAAAACAAAAAAAGTCAGAAACGGAACAAGCAAAATACAATACAAATAATACTAATACGTAATAATAATTGCTAACACTTACTGGGTACTTAGTAGTGCCAGTCACTGTTCTAAGTGGCTCATGCTGTTATTATCAACTTAAATCTTCACAGCCACCTCATGAGGGAGTGTTAATCCCATTTAATGATGAGGAAACAGAGGTACAGAGAAATTACTTTCTTGTTCCTGATCACACAGTTTAAAAAGTAGCGTACACACACAAAACAAGGACACATTTTGCAAAGATACAGAACAACTCAAGGATATGTATCAAAAGATTTAGAGGGTCGTCTTTGGGAGGGTAGGAGATAGGGTGGGAGTGGGGAAATCAAAGAAAGTACCTAGAACAGGGCAGGGGGGGGCCCGTAAGCCTTAGAGACCAAGGGCTACAGGGAATAGGGATCTGACAGGGTGATTAACTTAACCCTCTGCCCCAGGCCAAACGGAAAATAATTTAAACATAAGTAGGTAAATAAAGTCTTGTAGAATTTCCAAAGTAATCCAGCAGGAGACAGACAGTGTGTCTATATTTGAGGCGGCAGAGGAACTGGAGATTCCTCAGAGTTAAAAAGTAGCAAAGTCAGTGGTTGTGGTTCAGAGAGAAACCCAGTCCAAGATCTGGGCCCCTAGCAGGACCCAGAGGTGACTCCACTCCGCAGGTCTGATCTGCCCCTTGAGTGGGCAACGTGGTATCCAGAAGCCACTTCTGCACCAGACACTCACCTGCTCCACCCTGGCAACATCACAGTCACCAAGCTCCCGATGCCAAGACCCCTAGACTGCCTAACTTCACACGTTCCAATTACTGAGGCGGGTTCTTACAACCGGAGAAAAATCCCTTGTAACGAGGCAAGGGGGAGGGGGAGGAAGGAGGTGGGGTTGGAAAGGCCTCCCGGAAGAAGTTTTCTTTTACTTTCGATCACTCAACCAGGCTTTTCTGCCTGTCCCAGCAGACTCACTTCCTGTTTCTCTCCTCTCCACATTCAGAATTTACTAGTGAATTCAGCAGGGCTTTGAAACATCGCGAGATAAAAGAAAGCGAACCTGTGAAACCATTGCCCTCCGGCAGAAGGGCAAAATCTGGTCTTCAGTAAGAGACAAAGAAAATTCCTGAACAGAGAGAACTAGAGAATAAAATTGACTTTGAAAACTGGAAAACAGAGGTGATTCACTCGAACAGAAAATGTTTCTTATTTAAAGGAACCGATGCAAACTAAAAACCAGGAAGCTGTGTACTCACTACATTTAGTGTATATAAGGCCTATAATTTTTAAAGACAGATTTGAGACTGTCTGTGGCAAGTAAAAATGCTATTCTTCCTTGAAAGGGGTCTGGGGAGAGGAATTATTCCTCTATTCTGTGGCCCAAATCTCAGCACTGAAGCCATGGACCAGCCCCCCATATCATCTGGCAAGAGCTCTTCTTGGGTCGAAGCAGATCTCTTGCTGAGATGTGGGGAGATCCTGCACAAAAAGGGATGTGGGTCTGGCCCAGCCCTAAGCAAGGGTAACAGTCCCTGGCCAGTGCTGTGCCTTAGTGACCGGTACCTGTCCAGTGCCGAGCCTGGAGTGGTGGTAATGCGGAGATCTGTCCCCCAGGACCCTGAGCCCCCAAACCTGCCCAGCTTTTCTTCATCTTCCATCCCCTTCCCACCCTCTGCCTCCGTTTCCTGTTTGAATTTTTTTAAAGGTTTTCTGCCTTTTTGTTTTTACACCTTGTACATTTTATAACAAAAACACCAAAAATTATACAATACCTATATGTTGTACCTTTACATCAATTATCTCTAATTCCCCCAGCAAAGTAGAGGATTGTTCTCCTATGTCATGGATGAGGAAACAGAGGCTCAAATGAATACTCAAATTCGAACTCAGTCCCGTTGGACCAAAAACAAGGATTTTCCCGCCGTAACACACTATCTCCCCTTCCCCAGCATTTAGGATTTGAAATGAACCATGTGGGTGGAAGAGCAGTAAATTTAAACTAAGATAATGACCTATGCACAGAGGTCACAAGGTCACCTATGAAAAAGGAGTCAGCCTAATGACACCAGCTAATATTTAATAAACATTGTGTGTGCAAGGCACAGCCACCCAAACTGGCTCATTTCACCTTCTGAACAATTCTCAGAAGTGGATGTTCCCATTTGAGTGATGAAACTGAGGTTTGGAGAGGCGAAAGACTTGGACAAGTACCTTCAGCTAGTGAGTGGCAGAATGAGTTTTGTGTGCCTCTCTAAGACCCTGAGAGGTTAATCAGTGTCTGAACATTAATACACACCCATGGTTCTCAACTTGACTGATCTGAGGGTTAACTGAGGAGGTTTAAAAAAAATACCAGTCTTCAGGCCCCAGCTTCGGAATTCCTACCTGAGCAGAATTACAGGAGGTAAAACAGACTGAGCACTTAAAGGAATGCCTGGACCTTTGACAGTTCTCAGTAAATATTCACTACCACTGTGTTACATAAGCTCACAATATCTGTAAGATGGCTACGAATTATTAGTCACATTGTACAGATGAGGAAACTAAGTTCAGTGTCAATCAGCTGACAAACTGCACGGCCAACACAGGATCCCAAGAGTGTCTCACTTGAGAGTTTACGTCCATCCCCCAGCCCCCAGCCTGGCAGAAATGGATGACCCACCGCAGGCATCCAGGGGGCCATACTGAGGAGGAATGGGGGAGTCTCAGGGCTTTGATGTGTCATTTGTAAGGTATTGATCCTAGGCTCTCCCAGTCTTAGATCTTTTTAAAAAGGAAGATGAATAATCAACAAGTGAATTGTGAACCTGAAGTTGGTTAAATTCCTTTTGTGATCTTCTAGGATCAATATTAATTTACTTGCTCTAACCAGTTTCTTGCCTCCTTCTTGAGCTATACGTCTGCTTGATTATTTACATCGAAATGAATAGTGTACCTGGTCTTTAGTCCTGGGGAAGCTGGAAAACCTGGAAGCGTTGCAGTTCAGCGGGACATAAGGGAGCTGGTCCCTGCCCAGCGCAGGGTGAGGACAGCCTGTTTTTTTTTTTTTTCTTTTTTTTGTGGTACGTGGGCCTCTCACTGCTGTGGCCTCTCCTGCTGCGGAGCACAGGCTCCGGACGCGCAGGCTCAGCGGCCATGGCTCATGGGCCCAGTCGCTCCGCAGCATGTGGGATCTTCCCGGACCGGTACACGAACCCGTGTCCCCTGCATCGGCAGGCGGACTCTCAACCACTGTGCCACCAGGGAAGCCCAGGACAGCCTGTTTTGACTTAACTGCCGAGGGGTTTCCACCCTCCTGAATCTCAGCTCCCACCTGACGGCCTGCTCCAGGGGCTCATGTCTACTAATCTGCTAAAATCAGATTTGGATCTGTACATTTCCCTAAGAAAGCCAAGAATGACTAAACCTCCTTTCGGCTGGCTGGAACACACCAGTCCCATTGATCTGGACTTGAACCACAGGACATTAGTCAAGGACAAATCAAGGACAAATACTGACAGTGAAACAAAAATCCCCTGAACAAGCATGCTCTTTTGTTGGTTACTTCTCTATTAAGTTGGATACAACTGACCCATAGGCCAGGTGGTCTGGTATATGCATTCTATTCGGCCCCTCTTCCCCCTTCCTCAAGCTGGCCTTGGCTCTGGCCTTAGAATCCTGAAGGGAATGGTGAGGGAAGGGAGACTGCATTCCAGTCCATCTATTTCATCTCCTCCCGGCCATGTGGGAAGAGACTCAGCCAATTCTCTAGAAGTTTCTACCAGCTAGGCTTTTAAGTCTTTGATTTTTGTTTTGATATTGAGAAGACTAGACAGTCACGAGCAGGTAAGAGAAGAGTTTACATCACTGGCCCGAAGTGTATATTCTGCAATTTGCTGGGTGCTGGTACCTGCCCCCCTCTACTTCCACAAACGATACTACTGCAAACAAGAGCCCATCCCACTGATCTAGAAAGGAAGAAATTGAGGTAACTGTTGGGCTGTGATGCAATATTCATGTCATCAACTTAGCTTTTTAAATATTTTCTTGGAGGTCTGAGCACAGTCAAGGTGAAAGTCCTCCAAGTTCCAGCTATGCCCACCCCCAGGAACCATTTCTTGGGAACAATTTCTCAGTACCACAAAC